CGGGGGGGGGGGGGGGGCGGTGTGCTCAGAGGCTGTCCAGCCAGCAATGATCACAGACAAAAATAACCTTAAAAAAATCTTTCCAAATATAGTCCCTCATTATTGGTGCTATATCAGTTTCATTTCAAGCTGTGCCTGGCAGTGTCTGTCTCATGTTCCCTTTAAGAGAACACCAACAGGTCCTGAGGCACCAGGGCCTTTCTCTAGAAAGGGAGAATGGGGGAAACATACTTCAGTGTTATGACAGACAAAAGGATGGAGACTCCTTGCCCTCAGATGTTTAACCTTGAAGGATCCCTAGTTAATGAATCATAAGGAGGGTGATCTTACCAGGGGCTGATGAAACTCACAGGACACAGCCGTTTCAAGGCACTGCTGTACATATTGTAAGACCACTCTGCAAGCTTTATGGTTGACATGGGGATATGGGGAAACCATGTGTGGGTCATGGGCTCCTGTTAGTAAAACCTCACCCCATGTACCTGAAGCGTTCAGTCTCATAGGACCAACTTGAGCCAGCTGGAACAAAGCTGTGTGTTACAACCTGATTTAAAACGTCAATGGGTGCTTCCAGCATGGAAAAAAACAGAAGTGAGAGGGGAATATGGAATGTCTGATTTTCTTCCTTTTTGCGTCTTGGAAATTTTTACTAGCTTTCATACAGTGTTGGCAAAATCCTGCCATTTCACAAAGGAAGAAAACAGATTTACTCAGTGCAGCGTCTGTGGTATCTGCAAAAAAAGCATGAAACTGCTGTCAGAATGCATCAGTTGACTGCTTGGAGGTGTTAAGCATGCCATGGGTGCAGGGCAAGCCTGGTTAGGGACTGAGAAATGGCCATATTTGCTTTTGAGCCATCTACGGAATTCATGAGACCTGCTAGCCAAATTATGCCATTTCAAGGGACCCAATACTGCCTTCAAGCAACTGAAGACAAATCTCAGTGACTTCAGAGGAAGACAAAGTCAGAGTTAGGCTGTTTTTTGGATATGAAGGTAAGTTCTTACAGTGTGGCCCTTGCAGCTCCAGCTGCAGTACCTACAGACCGAGCAATCTCTTCCTCTGTGGACAAGGATGAGAGCCAAACTGGCCCAGAGAAGTGTGATCCACCGTGCCAGTCCCAGTAAGTGCACTCGCCCTGGAAAATAGCAGGGTGTAAACTATACTCAGAAACATGAAATCTGTGGTTACTCAACCTGGAGGGAATCACCCCCAACAAATCACAGTGGCTGCAAATCTGACTTACCACTGATGATCAGCTTGCAGCTGCAAGTTGTAGGGATCATAAGCAGACAGATGTTACTTGTTGAGTTGAACCACAACTTAGGCTTGGATGTGATGCTAATATTGCCCTTGTACAGGGTCACTGTTGGGTGGGGGGTGCTGATGAAAGCACAGCTCATGGCGCAGTCATTGCCATGACTCATGCTGTGGTTCTTCAGTGGGGCAATGAAGCAGGAAGCACAGTCCTTCCTGGGATACTCCATCTTGAAGTCAAAACACTCTGCTGAGGACAGAGTCACTATGGGCTGCTTCACACTGCACTGTCTGTTGCACATGCGCACATGCAAACACAGAGCCAGCACCATCAAGACAGAGAGTCTTCTCCTGCACGAGTACAAATCCAAAGAGCTTGGGTATGACATTTCATGACCTGGGCCTTCTTTCCCACCAGGGAAAACTCAGGGAGGAGGAAGAATGAACAATAGACCGCGTTACTCTCAGCATCTGACCAGCATACCTATCTCAACATATAAACAAATACAAACTGAAAAGCAAGAGAGGAAGGAATCAGAAATCTCATTCTCCCATTAATCTGCTATGCAACTGTAAGCAAGTAATTAATTACTTTATTTCTTGGTCTGTAAATAAGGTGTCAGGTTTTTGTTCCATGGGGAGATATTGATGCCTTCTCTCACTAATGCCATTAAATTGTAAAGTGCTTTTGGATATTTGGCTCCCAAGGCACTTTAGAAATGCATGATTAAATTACACCCAATTATAAACCAAAGCAGGTGATCTTGTAAAGGAAGGGATATTGCTCTGCTGGTGTTGCTCCGAGGCATTAATAGTCTACAGAATGCTCTGGGGGAATCAAAGGGAATGCATGTGCAATTTAAGTTCCAGTGTCCACTGCAAATTTTCCATTTTCAGCCTGTATTTAAACACATTTCTTGCAGTCTTTATTATCTCCTTTTGCATTGGCACGGGGTCCCATCAGGTAAATCCCCTGGATCCTAAATGTAGCACTGTATGGCAAAATTCTCTTATGAGACCTCATTCTCAGAAAACAGCTTATCTCCTCCTTATCCTTCAGAGCTTTTCTACCATCTCTCAGGTTTGTGCAAATAAGCCTTGTGACCTGCCATTTATAACGAAGAATAGGAAATCAGTTCACATCTGCTTGTGTCCTGCTGTCAGACAGGCAGGCTGTTACCAAAGGAATGTTCAAGGGAATGCACTGCAAGGCACAACCAAGCTAGCTTTCCTCCATTTACTACTCTTCTGTACCTGCCTACATACACACAAGTTACTGAAGTTGTTTCAGACTCTGTAAAATCCAGGCCTAGAGTACTGCCATGCAAGAACATGACTACAGCCACGTAACTGGAAGTGCTCTTTCTCAGCTGCACACGTAGCTGAAGTAACATACCTATGGCCTAGTTACGTCGATCAAGGAAGGCTGATTATTAAATACAAATACACAATTTGACACCTGATTACTCATTTTAGTGTACTACTTATTCTGTTATTTTAAGGTATCGCCCATTACTCTTAATGGAATTAGAAGACTTGTAGCAGCACGTGGATAGGCTTCTGAAGAAATATATGCATAGTCTGGTAATATATATTAATATATAGTTTGTTTTAAATTACTATATTGTTTATTACAACAGGCATAGGCCAAGCAAAAAAATTTGGCTTGGATCTCACTATTCAGAGTAACTGCATTCTGCTTTGCCCCAGACCAGGGAAGAAGGATCACTTACCATTTTGATTTGATGAGCTGGGGCATGTTCAGTTTTGTTTGGGAGTACTGCTAATGAGACATCTTTATTACTGATTAGGCCTGAGCAGGAAGAGACTGAACAAAGGAGAAGGTGTTTATCTGATGGGATGACCTCTGAGTTTTAATGTGCTTTTAGGGACTTCTTAACAGCTTCTGACCCCGAAAGACTGTCACACAGTCTCGTATGTGTGACAGGTTTGTTTGCTTTTCATTTAGGAAACAAATCCCAGTCAGACTGGAAATATGCTACAAGACAAATTACGTGTAATGCCAATCTTCCGTTATGTTAAAACATGATAATATCACCCTCCCTGCACAGGGGTGGCCCCTACTGTCTTGATTTTTAATTTAAACAGCATCTGTATGAACTGCTATGTAATGTGCTACACATACATGTAGTAAAAGGAAGCCTGGTCCTGAAGAGGTTGCTAACAAATGGATGGGATAGGACATGAGGTATTCTTGTGTCTATTCCCCAGGTGGGGACCTGAGGTGCAGAATAGGTTAGTGATATATCCTAGGCTACAGAGGGAGCCTGAGCTTAGTCCACAGTCTTGTGTACAAGAGCACCCATCTTCCTCCAGTGTTGTCATGAATTTTTATGCTTACCTCTGTCTTTGGACATGTACCACTGCTCCTGTGAATCCAGAGGGTCAGTGTCCCCAGTTTCATTGCAGACTACGACTCAGAAAAAGTATTTCCTCCCTGGGAGCAAGCCTGTGACAGTGTGCTTATTGCTGTAGACATTCTCTGCGGCGGTGAACCACGCGGCGGCACTGACATCACATTTCAGGACACCATAATCAGTCTGCTAGTTGTCTTCCACATCTGAACTATGATTTAGGGTCACAGTGTTTGGGACTTCTTCAACCAGCTGCAGATTAGTGGGTGGTCAGGGGAAATCTAAAAATTAATGAGCACATTTAAGTATTGGTTTCTTCTGTTTGGGACCCTCCCTCTGTCCTTTTCTGGGGCAAAAATTTTTCACTTCAGCTCCTCCCTTCCAAAGTCCCTGTGTGTCTAGGAAAGTACTTCTTTCCTTGATTTCTTCTACCCTGAGCAACCTGAGGACCAATTTGCCCTGTGCGTGTAATTCCCTTCTGATGTAAAAATAAGGCTGTTGTTTGTTAGTTTTAAAAAGCACTCTCTGAAGAGACGACAAGTACAAAATACACTGCAAAGGTCCCTCACCCCTAGCAGATCATTATAGTAATAGGAGTCTCTCTAAAGAGCAAGCCAGCCTGCCTCCCCTTGGCTGTCACAGACACACTTGCAATGGAAATGATGTCACCAGACTGCTGAGGGGACAGACACTGTTGTGTTACTGCTGTTATGGTGATTTGCCTGATCAAATAATGGCATGAAAAACAAGGCAGCATTTGGGGATGTCTGGAGCAGTAACTGCTTCACCCTTTCCCTCCACAGTGGACAGAGTGAGCAAAGCCCCAGCAGTACCTTCCTTATCCCTCAGCTATGAACCATGCTGCTCCTCTGCTTGGCTCAGCTAACTGGCTGAGCTAGCGGGAAGGTGGGACTTGGGAAACACAGTGATAAGAGGTAGGAAAATCCGTTCTGACCAGGGAGTCTTTCTCCCCTTGAGTGGAAACAACATTTTGGATCGCTCCTGTGGCATTTTTTGGATAAGGGGTGTGTATGATTGGGATCGTTTGGATTTTTTTCAAGAAAAAAACCAACCTTCCCAACTCTAGTATTGATGCAGAAATTGTGTGAAATTTCCATCAGCAGAAGAATACCTCCTGTCGATACCCAGAGGTGACTGAGATGCTCAAGTTTGCTCTATACTGTACCTGTAACTTGCTTTTGAATGTCGTAAAGGATTTTTCTGTAACTATTCTTGAGGATAGTCTGGTACAGGTCAGAAACAAATTGCTTGGTGCTGTGAATAAGGACTGGGAATGGTTCTTGTCCTCCCTCTTGTTGATATGATTTCTTTTTGCCACATCACTGGTGGTGGTGGGGAGCCCTGGCCAAGACAAACGTGCAGCTGTAATGTTCTGCTTCCTGACTTGGGTGGCAACAGAAACAAACCACGACTTTGAGCACAAAAGGGACATCTGTATCTACAGGAGCCACTTGTACATGATCAGCCTGATAGAAAAAAGTTTCAAGGACAACAATCCTAGAAATTTCTTCAAGATGTAAAGGCAATGGCAGGCTTTGTCCCCAGCAAAGTGCATAGAGCTGGCTTGGCTTGGGAGGTGTCACATAAACCTTATGCTACAGTTCATTAGTTTGATCATCTTGAAAGCTGAGGAAAAACAGCTGGCGTGATACAGATAAACTTGTACAATTTAGCCCGAGAAACACATTCTTACACTGGGGCTGATTCTGCAAGGTACTGTAGAGCCTCAGCTCATGCAGTAGTCTAGGCTTAAAAAAAAGGAAAGCACAGAAATTGCCCTTAGCCTCTACTGAAATGAGCCCAACATCCATGTCAATAGAAATTGTACCTCAGAAAGGACAGTTTTGGGACCTCAACCGTTGTCTTTACAACCCGATCACTCCCCTAGGTCACTCAAGGTTTAATCAAGAATGATTTCACTTCAGTTAGCATGAACTGTAGTTGAATGCTTGAAAAATTCTCTTGTGATGAATCAGAGAGCTTCCCCAATGTTTTATGGTTTGCTGAACACTGTTGCTCCAACTGCAGAGGGCTGGATTGTGCAGCTAACGAACTTGCATGCACCAAAGTCCCTCTACCCTTACCACCACAGGGAGGCTTATAAAAAGGCTAGCCATAAAAACAGTGAGCAGTTATGCAGGACTTCATGAACCTAAAGCACTGCATGAGTTTTCTCCAACAGTCAACTTCGTTTAAACCAAAGTGACAGCTCAGGTGATAAAGGCCAAAGGACAACTACAGCCTCCGTAGCCCTGCAGCTGTATTTCACCAGACGCCCAAGAAAACTCTAATTGCAGGATTCCTCCTCTGACAGGACACAACACAGAATCTCACAGGGAAAGATGTATGAATGCTTGGTGCTGTCCCAGCACAAACCACCATGTGGCTCTTCAGCCTCACCGTCAGATCAAACCTATGGGGGGGATGAAAGAAAAACAGAGAGAGATAAATTAAAAAATTGAAAGAGTGAGAGATTGCACAGAAAAGTGAAGCCATTCTTCAGTCTGTTGAGTCACGCCTGGAGACTGGAAGAAACCTTCAAACTGTTTCAGCAGAAGGCAGTTAGTGTAAGGATTGCAATGTTGCCAGCTCTTTTCCTAATACCTGTACCACCAGAAGAGAAACATTAATGCCTCAGAAATCAACAGCTTAGTGATGAGCACCTATTCAGCACAATTTCAGGAGAGGCAGGTGGAACAGGAACATTTAAAAATAGTTAATGTAAAAAGTGAATGAGAACAAAGAAAAAGAAGAGGCAGCTTTAATGCCTCATCAGATGATTTTACTGTCCACCTTCTGCCACAAGCAATTTTGTATAATGTCTGTTTCTTATAGGACTTCTCATAGTCTTCAGTACTGTACTGCATGTTGCCACTCCACACCAGAGAAGTTTGTCTGGAGCCTGCAGTTTCTGGGATTTTTTGGTGTTTCTCTATTTGGAGATGTGGTAACAAAGCCGTGCTGCACAGATGGGTTGTGTAGTTCCAAAGTGGAGACTGAGAAAAGAAACAACCATTTTTTGTATCGGCCACCTGGATGTTGCCTTCTGAGACTTCCTCAGTCAAGCCTGAATGTCCTTCTACTCTATAGGAATCAGTGCTATAAACCATGACTCATGAATCATGCATCTTTTCTTGCCGGCGTTACTGCTACTGAGGGCAGTCAGCACCATGCCTTGTTACCTGGGAGTATCTTAGACATAAAAATTCTGAATTTCCTAATTATTAAGCAATCATAAGTCCTAAACAATAAGGATTTAAATACTTTGCTACCTCAAATAGTAAGCTATCTAGGGATTTCATGGCAGGTTGTGATACCTTCATTCTCAACATATAATTAGTGTCTTTGAAGCATGACCTCTGATAATGTTATTTCAACTTTAGCATGCTGGCACCTGACTGTTCATCCCATTCAAACCGAGTGCCTGAAAGAATTAAAATCCTGTCTCAGTACCACCGTATTTACAACAAATGGGCATTTCAAAGATGATGGTTTATTTGCTGTAGTACCTACCCTCCTAACCCATACTCAGACTACAGTATCCATGACAGGAATCAGAATCTTCCAACAGTGACCTCTGTAATCACGTGAGATGTGTCGTGAGAGGTCAGACGGTGGAAGAAACAACTGCCATTATACCTGACATACTCATTCAGGGGACAGCTCAGCAAGAAGGATGGCAGAATGATTTTAATTTGGCTCAAGGACTGCACAGCTTGTGCTGCTCTCTATCTCCTCTCAGCACCTCTGAAAATTCAGCAAAAAGAAGCAGAGCTGTGATGCTAAATGTTCTTTTGTGCAAGATGAATTTAATAACCCTTTACAAAATGAGGTATATGTTAAAACCAAAAGAAAGTAACAGCTGATAGATGGGAGTTCCAGCTGGACGGATACTGCAGGTCTTACCTGAAAGTGGCATTGCTAGAATTCCTTCCTGTAACTCCACTGCTTCTCCCATACCACCTTCATTCACAGCTCGGGTTCAGAAGTAGTATTTGTCTTCCCTGCAAGCCTCCCACAGTGTAAGTGGATAGTAGATACTAGATACCAGAGATAGGGATCTTGGTGCATTTTGTCCATTTCTTGGTGTCCTCAGCTCACATCTCTAGTATGTATCCTGGCAGCACATCTCCCTGGTCTGGCTCCTGGCAGGTTAAGGAAATGCTGGAGTTGGAAAAATCCACCACCTTCAGCAGTCCTGGAGGCTCTGTGACAGTAGGAGAGCTGTGACACACTACTGTACCCGCAGGCCTGTGCTTGCACATGTGAATACAGAGCTGTTCCTATTTCAAGATGCCAAACCTGCAAGGTTTTAGGGTAAAAGGAGCCTTAGTAAACACAGAGCAAATTCTGTCCAACAAAACAATGCAGTTCCTAACACGGCACATACATGTAGACCCTGTTCCAAGGTTGGCCATTTAAGAAAAATCCTCACAACATTTGACACGGGACCATGGAATTCAGCTTGGAAAGGGCACCTTCTGTGAGTGCTGATGACCACTCATTCTCCACATGTGTTTGGGAGAGGTGTCTAGCATTAAAGGTTTGCTTCTGTCTCTTCCTAGCTGACGGGTGAGCTCTGCAGTACATTTCCTATAACCTGTCTTGTATGCCTTTGAGTGCCTCGTGTCTCTTCTTGTTTAATAAATCCCTCTTACAGTCCTTTGTAAAGTGGTCAGGTGCTATCTGGACTGCTTGGATTAGTGAATTTGCTTACTGGCTTGCAAGATCCTGTTAATGTTCTTCAAGTTTATTTGCCAAAGATTACAGTACCCTAATTAATAGTAATTTTTGAAAATACAGATCTTGCTTTTTGCTCTTTAGTCCACCTTGCAGCAGTCTAGTTAGATCTCCATAATATGTAAGAAGAGCAAAAGATGGAATATTAAAAAAATCTGTATGTTTTTAATCAAATGAATAGGGAGTCGTGTATCCAAATCCATGTTCTGCTCTGAAAGTCTCAGCTAGAATGCAACGACCCTCCTCCCACCCCCAAACCAAAAAAAGTCATGCCATGACAAACTTGATGCTAATGGCTTTTATACAGAACACTCGTATGAGCACACAGGGTCATGAGGAATATGGTGCATGTGGACAGTACATATTCTTCTAGGCCTAATGTGAAATAATGCAAGTCTTCAAATAGGAGAAGAATCATAGCTTCAGGCTTTAAATTGGTTTTGTGTCATCTTCTGATGTAAAGGAACCTGAATGCTTTCCCATCTGAGTAACTATTTAACCTCAAGGCTCTCATTTACTACACAGAATTCTCTCATTTTTTAGCTATACCGGCTTCCACACTTGGCCAGGTTTTTTTCTAAATTATGTGCAGCTACTAAGGCCCACTCCTGTATCTATTACAAGATTCCATCAACAGTTTAAGCTATTTATTGATGGCCTCTGACAGCCTTTTGTTGTTAAAATGCTTTAGTTATATGGTCATACAGAGTAAGGATTCTTTATAATTGGCACAAAATAAAATCTGGCCATTTCAGCATTTCTGAGGCTACCGTAATTCTTTGGAGTTTGCCTGTGATTTTGATCAGTCTAGAATTAGGCACAGATTCTTTACTACTAAAAATCCAATATTAAAATAAAAGAACGTAAGCAACTTTCATGAATTCCGCAAGAGTTTTCTCTTCTTTTAAAAGGGTTGATGGGGGACTGATGAAAGGAGCACAGTAACGTGTATGAGAAATTATTTTCTTTGTCATACATTAGGGCCTTTGGCAACCCTTATGTAAACATTAAGTACTAAAGGTATCTACACCTCAGAGCACCTTTATCATGTTGATCTCTGCTGTTTGCATACACTCAATTCCCCCCAGGTGGGAATCTCTTACTGTGTCCTTATCTTAATAGTTACACATTTTAAGTGAATAATATCACACTTTCAGGCACTTATAATATAATTACATTTATAGTCAACAGTATTAAGGCCTTCCTTAATCTTTAGTTAAGCTGTAAACACAATGCAGTCCATTACATTGAGCCAGGCTGGAACTGCCACATATCCTCAGACTTCAGTCATAAATGCATAGATCTGGTCATCGCATACATGTTTAGGAAAACCAGACATTAAACAGTGAAAGAAACATACTCATGGGATCCTTTGCAATGAGAAGTTGAGGGCATACTGAGAAGTCCAGGGCCTGTACGGTTCACAGCTATCACACGGAACTCATTCTGTATCCTCCAGAAAACGGTCCACTTTGAATCTGGTACCTAGAGACAGACATGTTGCAATTACACAACTCTCTAATCACTCATAAAAGTGTTCCCAAGTGGTCACTATTTTTTTTTTTATTGCTTTTGGACTGAGATAAACCAAGAAGAAATTTCAGCTCACAGACTGCTGGAAAACAATATAAATTTGAGGGTTCAGGGAGCCCCTTAACTAGGTCTAACCTTTACTTCTCCAGTGGTCTGCTCCATTTTCATATCTCTCTCCCTAAGGAGGAGATGGAATTTTGATGCATATAATAAGAGGAAAAATGCATAATTTGCTTTCCACTAGATTACGGTCTATAGCCTGGTATAATCATACATGCTGGGGAAAAACACCTTCGTGTCTTGCTCCACTGACTTCAGTGGGATTTCCCATGATGTAAAGAACTCAACAGAGTGGCCAAGCCTTCCACAATCTAGCCTTCAAGCAAGGTTAAACCTCCATTCAGTTTTGACAAGAAACCTCAGGAATTGAATAATTTGCCTTAAAAAGTGTTTCCATTATTTACCATAAGCAATGTTGGTGCCTTAAGGAGGATATTTGTGGATAGTGTGATTGATTGTAACTTAATTAATATGAAAGTCCAACATTTTGAATAAGACAGAGGAAAGAATCCAAGAAAGAACCAAAATATTAACAGAAAAGGAAAAGCAAAAGTCTCGCTAGTCAGATGCTGCTGCTGATAGGAACACTCCCATGTGTTACACAAGCTGTGCTAAGCATGGATCATATGGTTGCTATCTGATGGATACAACAAAATCAGTCACTTGTTTAATTCAGTTCTGGTCTAAGTCAGGTAAAAGCAGTCAAATTTAGGTAGGAAGAAATGTAAAATATAGACGCTTGAAATCAGGCACCCAAGTCCATAGGTGTGACTTTCAGAGGTGCTGGGTGTTCTGCCCTCTCATTGTTGCTCATGCGTATCAAGCCATTTCTACCTGATGGCTGAAAATCTCACTGTGAACAGCATATGTAGAAATGTGTACCTTGCTAGATGTCATGGTGAAATTTTCCTTGATTAATCAATACTCTGCTTTGCATCCAAAGCTTATCTAACTTTGGGACTGGCTCCTTGGTGATTGGGACACAAAAATTGCTGCCCTTCTTCCTTTTTTCTATGGGGTAACCTTGCACTGGGGAGCCTCCGTCCTGGACTGGGGCGTTCCAGGTGATGGTGACAGCTTCTTTCCTGACATCTACAACTTGAGGCTGAGACACCTGTCTCAGAGACTCTACACAGAAGAAAATAAAATTAGCACAGTACAACCAGAATTCATTGACTCCAAATTGTGTGTATGTTATGTGTGTGTATATAAATATATATGTATGTATCTACAGCAAGAAGTCAAGGAGGGTAACTGGTATGTTTAGGTTTATTCATGGCCACAACCTTCTTCTAAAGACTCTTTCTTTGCCATCTAATTCCCTTTGTCATTTCAAATGCTGAAACATTTCAATTCTTGCACTTCTTCTGAAAATGAGCTCTTTCTGTGATGCATTACAGAGCAGCTCAGAAACGCCTTCCCTAATCCATAGGAAGTCTGGACAAAAATGCAAAATTTTAGATGAAAAATTCTATATATTACTTCAGGTTGGTAATTTTCTTTCTGAAACGTTTCAACAGGCCAGACTTGCTGTTTGCACTGTGATACACTCTGGTCTTGGGCAAAGAGAACTGCAAATCCCCTTTCATTGGGGTTTCCAGTCCATAAAGGAAAAACAGGAACAAGAGGTACCTGAACTGTAACTCCCAGAAGATAGTTCAGCAGTGTTTTCTAACCAAATTAGTTTTTGGCTGACGTATTTTTTTTTTTGGCTGCAAAACAAAATGTTTTTAAGCATTCCTTTTTAAATTATCTTCTCTCCTCCCCCACAGTATTTTCCAGAGAAAGCCACTTTTCATTTCTGCCGTATCCCACTAAACTTACGTAACTGACACTAGAACAGTGTGTTAGTCAGTACTCCCTTGTGGCCAGCCCTTGTCGAGGGGTTTCTGAGTCCACAAACATTTGCAGTGAAAGGACCTGAGTATTTGATCCTGGTTATTAGCCTAAGCACAAAGCAGCTTCTAAGCTCTGTCCTTGGAATTTGTCCCCTGAAGCACAGGGGACAGTGTTTTTTTGGGGACTGGCAAGGAGGGAGAGGACAAAAATGATGGCAAGCGGGACTGTGAAACCACATTAAAACCAGCTGGCTAACAGGTTCTCCAGCAAAAATTTCTTCTGTTTCCAGGGGCTCGATGAAGCCCTCAGAGTTGATGGCACGTATTCTGAATTAGGCTTTTCCTTCCTCCACCACCACTACTTTGATCCACGATTTTTTCTCCAGCTATCCTCCTCTTGATGACAAAGTGAGTCACCTGCTTTCCTCCATTGCCTTTGGGTGCTTTCCATCTCATTTTACATTTTCCCCATGTGTAAGAGGAACTCTGCTTTCCCCTGTGGGGGTTTTAGTTTGTCTGCAGTGTGAGCAGCTGACCAGAGTGACATGGAGGGCTATTATTTAGAGGGTCATATCCTGTCACGGTGTAAATCAGTGTAGATTACAGCAAAACTAAACTGTCTTGAATCACTTGATTTGATAACTCAGAGCCTGCGCCACTGCAAGATTTTTAAAAAGAAAGTCTGAATTACAGTGTCTGTAACCCAACATATCTACCTGATTGTCCTGCTATAAAATGATTAATTTAGGACCTACTAACAAAGTTGAGGTAAGGATTGTCAGAAGCCAAGCCACAGTCACTTTTCAGATTCAGCATGTCTTCTCTCACACAGGTTTTGATTGTAACACAGTCACTGGCTTTCTCCATCACCACTTTCTCTTCCTCTGTCACCTCAATACCATCTTTGAACCATGTGACTTCGGCCACTGGCTTTGCCTTGAAAGGCACCTTGGTGCTTGTTGTATGCTTAGTCTTCACAGTAACGCTGTGTGCAGCAAAAAGCTCGAGGACAGATTCTTCAATAACAGGAGAATCTGGAAAGAACAGAAGACATCTGAAAGCTGCAGCTGCAAATATAGCTTGACATCTTTCCTGTGTCTGCAAGTTCCCAGAAAAGGTGGTCCAAAGCTGGGCCCTTCATACACTCCTTCATGTTTTTAATATAAGAATCCTGTATTTTGTGAAAGTCTCCGGGGGCACTCATAATCTTCAGCGTGTTTTGATTCAGTTAATTTAGTTCTGTTTCTTGTACAGGGAACCGGCTGACCTCCTTTAGTTGTTCAGCTCAGCAGAAAAAGAGGGACCTCTGGGAAATAGCAAGCCCCAAAGCTCCTCACTTCCCTAGGGCCTGGAGATTTGATTCCAAGCAGTTTCTAAGTTTTGCAAGGCACAAGAAGAAGCCCTTTGTGCTGTTCTTCCCTAAGGCCACGCTGGGATATCTATGATCGTGATAAAGATAGTAGAATCAAAGTTAGGTACTGCTTTAAAGAAAACACTCCCTCATTTCTTAGAGTAATATGGGAAAACGATAAGGATGTCCTGCACACAATAAAGAAAAATAACCAGGTTCCTAAACATATGTGGTGTTTTTCCTTTTATTTTTGTCACACAATGTGCATGTTTCGAAATTACAATCTTCTGCTGAAAGTCATAGAAAGGCATTAAAAATATTTTTGAATGCAGGAAAATCAACCCTCCCTATACCAAAGCTTTGCTGTGGATGGGTTTTTACTGCAACACAGGTATGATAAATATTCGGTGCTGCAGCCACAGCATCCTTACTGCTGCGTTTGTCCTGCTGTTCGTGCAGCGGTATCTATCCGCCTTGCCTTGATTCAGCGGACAGAAAGAGACTTATTTCCATGCTGCAGACGAGTCTGAAAGTCCATCTGGCGCCATCTGGCTGCCAAGAGCTGAGTAATACGCATATTTATGTACTTCTATATATAATTTCAGAAAAGGTGTTTTTCTTGTTGCTCATGACAACAATGTTTGAAGTAAAGGCTCAGGCCAAAATTCTTGATTTATAAACACGGATACCTATGCTTAGTCACTTAAAATCAAGCAGTACGACTGTTCAATTTTCTCCCCTCGGGGAACAAAGCAGAAAGAAGAGGTTTTGCTCATGCACATAGATAAGCCTGTAAAATGGTACAGGCCCAGATAAGGAGACCTGGTGAAGCACTGATTCTGCAAGTGTTTGTGTACACCTGGTAAAGAGCAGTAAAGAGATGGGGTGGCTACCTCTAGTGGCAACTGTTGCTCCACTCTCTGCCCCCTTGGCTCTGAACGTGTACCTCCCTTCATGCTCCTCTCCCGTTCTGTCAATGATGAGTTTGTGGATGGCTCCCTGCTTCGCTACGCAGATCCTTTTCATGTCCGTAATCTGACAAGAAGATTGAGGCAGGAAACAACTCACATTGCAACAAACACCATCTCCAACCTTGTCCCTGAATCCTCTGATCAGTTTCCTGCTCTGAGACAACTAAGCGGTCAGGATTTCCAGCTCCTACTCCGGTAAAACGCTCTGTGATCTATGGACAAAACGAATTCAGTGTTATGTGGACAGAGTGATCTGTGCATCTGCATAGAGGAGCCACATGGCGTGTAAGGAAGGGTGTGCATTAACATGCAAAGGATACATTTACTGATTACTCTGAAAATCAGAGGCTGGGAGAGGGAGAAGGGTGGGTGGTGAGAAGCCAACCTTGTGGGAAAGAATGCGAATCTACAGCCTGAGAAAACGGGTTAGCAAATGTGAAAGCATCTTTACAGGAGACTGGGAAAGAAAATTTTGAAAAAGCCAAGATTCAAAGCCAAAACTTAGTAAAACTGAGGCTGTAGTAGACTGGGAAAGATTAGATCCATTCTTGTCTTATCTTGTCCATCTGTTTGTCCTTAGTCAAAAGCCCTTTATCAAAACCAGGCCAAGTCCCACAGTAGCTACTTAGAGAAAACTTCTCACTAGGGTTTTGCAGCCTTTCATTACACTGACAATACCATGGGCATTTTACCTATTTGCCATCATTAAGCCATATTCCTTCCACCTTCGTGTCGTTCAGGACAACACAATGCTCGGCAGGATCCCCAGTTAGAGCATGAATGTCACACACATACTCTTCATGGTTGCAAATGTCTCTGGAAGAAATCCCGGTGGAAGCATGTGAACAGAAAAACCGTGCAGAATGATTGTTGACTGAGCACTTCAAACACCAAGGAGGTATTTAATGGCAGGGAGATCTCATAACAAAATAGACCGGCCCTCAGGATGAAAGTGGTTTAGTGAATCAAACATCATGGGAAGAAAGGGGGATGGAGAAAGGCTGTTCCTAAGTAGTTTTTGCCCTTCTTTATGGGTGTTCGCTGGAGGGAATGTAGCTATAGGAACCCAAAAGCTGAAGCAGAACACAGCCTCTTGGCACTGCTCCAGACCCTCAGCTGGTCCAAAGGAGCTCTCAAACCCGCTGAACACTTCCTCTACTGCCTACACAGTATTTGTATCTGAAATACATCATCTGACACAGGAAACGCAGGACTATTAGGAAGAGACCAGTCTCACAGAGACACCTGAACTCTGCATGGTGAAAGATGAATCTGTAACTAAGGCAGCAGCCCGCAATTCCATTGTGCACAGGAGTCAGAGGCAGCTCAGCCACGGCTCTCCAGGTTACCTGTGCCACAAAAGTGGTTTCTGTCCCAGAGGAGTGGTCAGAGACGGCCCCTGCCCACACTGTACCTTCAGGCCATTCTGGCCGTGGCCCACAGAGGGCACTCGCATACCAGGCCTGGTACCCATCCTCCAGGAGCCAGGGCTTCCTTGCCCACCGCCAGCCACACTCAGCCCTGGCCACAGACTCCTCACCAGGCTGCACGCCTGGAAAGCCCAGGGCTGGGGATGCCATTGGGAAACTGCTCCCTTCTGGCCTGTTTTGGGAAAACAAAATGAGAAATACATGGCCAAAATGCAACTAACGGAGTGACCTCCACTCAAGTCCATACACCAGGACAGGGTTTGTGGGGCATCATCTGACACAGGAAACGCAGGACTGTTAGGAAGAGACCAGCCTCACAGAGACATCTGTCAGGGATGGGCACTAGGGTAGATCAATCTTCCACGTGAGAAAATCTGGTTGACCTCACAGCTGAGCTTCTTTTGGCCCCTGAAGTTTCCTTCATGCCATCCTACCAACTGAATATTCAGTTGTTCCTGCCTGTGAAGGATACACTAATATAATTTTATCCTCCTTCCAAGCAGTTCATTTTAAAATGGTCTTAAAATGCTGCACTTTTCATGGAAGGCACCTGGGCATAGTTCAAAGCTGGTCCACATCTAACAAAAGTCGTCTCAAATACTAACAGCTACTAAAATCCACATCCTAACTTTGAAATTCTTCTCCAGCCTATGCTGAGAGCATGAAGCTAAGATTTCCAACTTTTTTCCTGCTCTTAACAGCCTTGTGTCTTTCTATAAAGATCATAGACTGAAGTTTTCAGCATCAATAACGCTACTGCAAAATTAATTCACAAAACAAATGTGATATTAAATATTTACCAGCCTCATGTTGTGCTGCTGGTCCTCAGCAGGCTGCAGTCAAATGTCCCATGGGTCACTTTAAAGAATCCGGATAAGAATTCATTAGGACAACCTGATTAAAATAAAAAACATGGTATACTTTACTAGGCTGGTTTGTGACACGTGCAAGGACTTAAATGGAAGATTTACTGCTTTATGCTTCTACTGCTTTATACAGCAAAGGGAAGTCCTTAATTATTATCTGCATGCTACCAAGAGCGGGCACAGACTAACGGCTTATTCCATGTTAAACAATAAATAGACTGCAGAGCAGTGTTATCTCACATTAGTTTCCTAGCTGTTACAGCAAAGCAGCACTGCTCCTCTGCAGAGGTCACTGAAGAACAGTGTAAAGACCACTACTCCTCCTCCTCTTCCTCTCTTGAGCCATTCACACTTACCTTCCACAGCTACACTGGCACTGCTGTACTGCTCATTAGGGTCACTGTCTTGCGTAGCCTACGATGGCTGTGCAATCTCCTGAGTCACTCAGCTCAGCAGCATTAATGATAAGCACTGCTCTCTTCCCTTCATGCTTCATGATGTACTGAGGAGACCTCTCAATCACTCATCCATTCTACATCCCTTTCAGGGTGACATCTTCAGAAGTCAGCGCACGTTCCAGGCAGGCTTTTCCCTTCTTTTTCACTTGGGTGTTCTTGAGATTGCTGACGAACTGAATTGGAACCCCTGGGAAAGGGGAAGGGGTTGGCAAGAAAAAATGGCACATACCAGCAAGCACCTTATAAATAAAAACAGGTGGCTTTGCCTTTGCAGGACATAACATGGGCTCCTGCACAGGAGAGATTCCAGGCTTGGGACTTTACTTCCAGTGTGAAAATGAGGTCTTGATGCTCCTCTGCTTGCCTGTCCACAGACTAGCTTTATGAGACTGCGGCTTCCATTTTTTTCAGCCCAAGCTCTGGGGCTTTGTGTTTTAGCTTTACGGATTTTGCAGCTCAAACCCTGCTATCTTGCGTTTGATCCACCCACTGCCCAAAGATGATTACTTTGCAATACTTATGATCAATGAAGAGTGGAGTGTTCTGCACTAGATCTCTCCAGTCTCAACATTGAGTTCTTTAAAGTCACTAGACAGAACACCTTTAATTTTCATAGTGTGGGCCAATCCATCATCAGATGTGATGATTTCATACTTATCACCCCACTTCAACTCTTTCCCATTGACCTTTGAGGTGAAGTTTTGACAT